CACTCCCTCCTTCCATATTTATTGGCAAGACCACTAGAAATCTTTTTTGAGGATACATTCCTTATGATTGACTCTTTTATTTAATGGCTGAATTTTTTAGGTTGTCTCCAATAATGGCCATTTTATTTTAATTAATAATTCAGTTAATATTTTATGCAAGCTCATATTTTTCTCTCTAGTGATTTTGTAATATTGATGAAATATTTTCATGTTACTTGGATTGAGCACATGGAATATAATGAAAACCTTGTCCATGATTAGTATCGCCCTTTGATAAAGACTGGTCTGGGATTTGGTGCTCAAAGGTGGATGAATACTTTGCAAAGACAATATCAGTTCTTGAAAGTGATGAAGTCAATTATTGATCCCATAGGTAATCATGCATAGAGGTTCAATTATTGTGCCATTTATTTTTTTATACTTTTGAATATTAAAAAGAATTGATTCTTATGTAGCTTTATTTGTGGCAGTTGATTTAAGTGGTGAGAGAGTTATAAGGATGTTGGCTTAACACATGATGCATAAATTTTGTGCGGGGGTTTGTGCAACCGCTCACTATTGGGAAATAATTCAACTAGCAAATGAAGAAAATTACAAATTAATGATGAGGACGAATATTACTGACCTTGGTGAATCGACTGGTGTGGTGTTAAGTGCTACAAAGACAATCTGGTTACCAATGAAACACCAGCGTTTGATTAAATTCCTCACTAATGAACAAATAAGGAGCCAGTGGGATGTCTTGTCCAATACTTGTCCCATGAAACGAATGATCAATATTTCTAAGGGTCAAACTGTCAACAGTAACATTTCTCTCTTTTTTCCTCATGTGAGTGGTTAATTGTTGTGTTTTTTTGGATACATGAATGAATTAGTTTTTTTAATTAATTGTTAATTTATAAATAATCTTTTCTTTTGATTCGGAGATGTAGGGGGATGATTCTGGTGCTAGTCGAGTGATCTTGCAAGATACTTGCATGGATGTAGCTGGATCTCTTTTGGTTTATGCTACAATTGATTCACAAGAAATTAATACCGTGATGAAAGGGGGGGACTCTTCTTGTGTGACTCTCTTCTCAAATGGAATAACAATAGTCCCGGATTGTTTTCAAGATTTCTCTACAACTAAACTATAATGTTATTTCTGGGGAGATGAATAATGGGTTCAGTGGTGGATCGTTGGTGACTATCAACTTTCAAATGGTGGGGAACATCATTCCAGCTACAACTCTTTCTATGGAGTTGGTCAAAGAAGCAAATGCATTCATCTCACACACAATTCATAAGATTAAGAGTGCTCTTAATAGCAAGTGATATTTCAAGACTATCTACCATCCATTGATTTGTTATGTGTTTTGAGTCTCTACAGTCTTTCTTGATTTGGATCATAATATTATTAGATTGTACTATTTTGAGTTTATATAAAAATAATCATATTGATATTTGATTCTCTATTGCTTATTTGATTTTGTTTTACATTAATGTTCTTGATCTCAAGCCAACTTTATAATAATCTGAGCGAAAATTAACAATTTTTTTTTGAAATTAACAAAATTTTGAATCTAACATTTGTTATTAAATACTATCATTTCGCATTTAACAAACACATTCACCTAATAAATATAATGTAGCTTATCGGGAAGAAAAATGATTGTATCCTATATAAAACTTTGAAGTGACAAATTCGATTATTGGCTAAGTGTTGAGAAGTAATGTTTAACTATTTGAGATTTATAGAAATTTTGAAGTGGAAGCATCCTGAGGAATATGTTTGATAAATTCATTATCATCATAGATTACTAGTAATAATAAAATGTAAATATTGGCTATATTTTCAACATAAATAAATAGTTATTATGTTTTACTTTCAAATAAATAAAAGGGAAAATGCATGATTACACCCCAACCTGTACTATACAAAAAATTTCAAGCACACACTTTATATTTGTGGGAGTTTTATAACCCCTTGAACTTTTTAAAAGTTGAATAAGTATTATCTTAACTACTGACTTGGAACAAATTCTACTATATTAGAAGAGTGAGTTCAAAATGAGTATCAACATGTTTGCTTCCTGTCATTCAATTCATATTTGAGGGCAATTGTGACTATTCAACTCTCTCTAATTTATGCGTGCAAATATACGTGTCACTAGGAGTAGTAATTGCAGTCTTTCCAGTTTCTTACCTTGGGACACATATTGATATGACTTCAACATCTCTTCTATTTTTCATTCTTTAGCACAAGTGGGAGGAATTGCAGTGTTCTTTTATTTATTTTTCCCATTCTCTCTCACTTGCATCTTCCATTCATCTCTATTGTAATTTTCAGGTACTCTTTTTGTTATTATTTTTTTTATGTTGCTCTCCTATATATTTTTTTAAGATATTCTTCCTTCGTTTGACTGAGTTTCTATGTAGTCATCTAATGTATTTTGTTATGTGTCTTAATAATTTTTTATTCTTCTCTCATTGATAGTTATCTTACCTATTTTGGATCTTCATCTTGCAATTTAATAAATTAAGATAATTTATCACTTTAGTTTCTAATGTATTCTTGCTATTAGTAATTTTTCAAGATATTTTTTCAAAGCCAAATTATCATCTATGTATTATTTGTGTGTCAAGTTAATAATCAACAACTAAAAATATACTAAGGAGCCATCATTTTTATTTGGTGTTTTTTTCTCTTTCTTTATAGTTAAAGATTAAACTGGATAGTCATCTTCATAATTTGAACTTTGACTTGTGCGTCAATTGTGGACTCTGAGTTATTGAGTTGTCCCTTGGGAGAACATATGGTGTTTCCTTTTGTAATTCTTTTGATAAGGTAAAATAAAATTCTTCCACAAATATTCCTCAAATTTTGAAGTCTAAAATTGTTATGGAATTTGATATTGTAAGTGTCACACCCCGAAGCTATCCCCAGGAAGCGGACACGGGACCTAGGATCACAAGTGACCCCAAGCTAACCTTGTTGGCATATCATAAGCATACTAATGTAAACTGACGTAAAGAAATACTGTGTGGAAGCTAAGTCGTCATTTAAGATGAAATGATGGGGAATACCTATATACTATTTGAATATATATAAAAACTGAGAGTTTAACAAATGCTGAAAGGTCAAACTCAAGTGCTAAAGATGAAACTAACTATGTCTGAAAATAGCCTCTAACTGACTAGAACTGTTGGGACATGCCCCAGTTAAATCTAGCAAAAATTGAAACTAGGAGTAAAAGAAAAGGAAACATGTATGTCGTCCTCGGAGAATGAGGACTCACCACTGATGCTGCTGAGCTGAAGATCGGGAACCAATCTATACATGATCTAGAAGTTGAGAACCTGAACCTATATCACGAGAAGATGTAGCACATAGTATGCGTCAGTACTTGAAAGATACTGAGCATGCAGTATAGAATAAAGCTGAACAACATACATAACTGAACAAAACATATAACTGAGCAATGATATGAGATAAGCATGATACTATACTGAAAATACTGAACATGAAATGACTGAATATAATGACGTGGTTTATAACATGTTGGCACTGAAATCTGACTGTAACTGATAACATGGTCAATGCAATAGATTCTGACTGTAAGGGAGCTACTAATAACCGACATAACACCACATGAGCTAAATGTGGAGTCCGATGTATACGCCCCATCGAGAGGAGCCAATATACCTTAGCTTGCCAGAGGTATAGAGGCATGACTGGCATGATCACCAAAGGGTACTAGTAAACCTACTAGGCACGTAGTTCTGGGAATATTCGAGTACGCTGAACCCTAGTCCACTCGGTATTAAGCTACTCCCAATTGATTTTTTAATTAACAATTTATGACTGATTTTCTGTAATACTGGATAACTCAAAATACTGACATGCTAACTGAAAATGCAACATTAATGTACTAATAATGACACATTCGAATCTAAGGCATGTATAACTGAAATAACTAGCCTAGCATGTATAATTCATGATCTAAAAGAACTATATTGCTAGGGTTCTGAATTTATGAAGGAATCTACAAAAAATAATACTAAAATCATGATAATTTGATTTGGATCATTCTAATAGCTAAAAACCCAATAATTTCTAACATTAAAAAAACCCTAGGTCTAGATAATAGTAAGCGAATCAAGATTCTAACTGAAATCTAGGGACCTAATGGGTGAAAGGAACCCACTAGTGAAATCCCACATACTTGGTGACGAATTCCACGGAGAAATCTTTCGCTTTCAGGGCTGGAATTGATGAAAACTCGTTGCGTTCTTGAACTAGGGCTGCTCATCTTTCCCTCTGATTTTTACTCTAATTTTCTCTTGATTTAGGTGAATAATTGATTAGGGTAAGTTCTAATTAGTTTACTAGGCTAAAACTGACAAAAACCACGTAGTTTAGGGGTTAAACGACGTTGTTTAGGGGTCCAACGCATAAGGAAAATACCAAACGACCCCTGACTTAAAAGTCTGTCGGGGCTGACCACGGCTTCTCTGACGTGCAGTCAAAGGGACCACGGACCGTGGGGCCGGCCATGGACCTTGGTCCAGTAGTTGCTGATTTCGGGACTCCCTACTACAGTCCACTTCACGGACCGTGTGAAGGATCACAGACCGTGAAGGTCCTCGTGGTCCTTCACCTGGGCTAAGGGCTACACTGGCTCGATGATGAGTCCACAAATTTGACTCTTTTAGGGCTATGTTTTAATAGAAATTTTGTCCTCAAATGCTTATTTTATCTCAATATCTGATGAAAACCCCTTAAGTTTCAGGTATTTGAAGTTTGAAGGAAAGAATGGACACTACGTCGCAAAAAGGAACGAAAAGGCTGAAAAGACCGAAGAAATGAAGGCCTGAGGATCGCCAAGTCCACTTGGCGAGTCGCCGAAGGGTCTTACCTCGCCTTTTGTTCCAGTAGGCTGAGCCTTGAAGGAAAATATCAAGTCGTTGAACAAAGGGAGCAGTCAACGCATCGCTGAGAAGTTCCGTGAAGCAGTACCATGTTGCCCAATGACCCAGAGCATGACGATGTTGAAGGCTGGTGCAAGAAGGCGATGAATTACACCAAAGGGCGAATCACCGAGTTGATCGGCTATTCCGACTAACGACACCGAATGATCCGCTGTAGCACAAATCTATGAAAACTATAAATACTAGTTAGAGTTGTAGTTTTAAGAGTCGAACAATTATTATAATTTTCATATAGAATACTACTTTTTGATATTTTTGCTCTAAGTTTGAGAGGATTTCAAGACTTGAAGTTCCAAAGGGTTTTATCTTCAAGATTTGGATTTGGGTCTCTTGGATTCTTCAATTTTGGCCTGTATCAAGACTTAAATCTTCATACCCAGTTGAATGCAAGCTCAATTTGGTATAAATTTCTATCTCTTATACATGTGTGGCTAAAACCCCCAATTCTTGGGGTATGATTTAGCGAATATGGGTTAAGATAATTGTTGGATCTTGCTTGCTGATAGTCTATTCGTAGTTTAAATGTGATTTCGTTTAGTGGTTGTGGATGAATTTAATGAATTTGTAGTTGCTAATACAAGTTTATTTATGTGTTTTTGGCTTGCTCGAGAGAGAGGTCATAAAACTAAGATCACTAGATTGATGGCTAGTGTGAATGGGTCGACATAAGGTTCAGCTCAAGATAGTGAACCCTAGTCCCATGTCCACACACTCAGCTCGAGAGAGTGAGTGGGTTAAGGCGTAAGCTGGTCTTCATGTGGCAAGTGGGTGTCCGAGAGGAATGCATTTGAAATTGGGTAAGTTTCTCGAGAGAGAGTTTATCCCCCTTAAAGTTTAGCCTAGTCACAATTATTCTATGAATCTTCTATTGAAAGCACGTACCCAATAATCTAGCTTAACATGTATTCCCGTCACATCCCAAGGATCCCCTCTCATTAATTAGAAACCCTTGTTTATTTTGCTGTGTTTACTTACTAGTGACAAAACTCCATTGTTTATTTGACACTCTTGTGTCCCCCTTTAATTTACAATATTTTTAATCGTTAATGTCTTTAGCTACGACTAGTTAGAACTAAATTTTATTTTTCTATTAATTTTCAAAACTACTCTTTTGGGAATGATCCCAACCCTTGGTTGGGTTACTAAACTATTGTACGATCGTAGACACTTGCATCGGAAGTTATGTCTTGATTATGCAAACATCACTCGACTTCACGGAAACCACCACGGCTCGTCGTCAAGACCACGGCCCGTGAGGGGCCCCGTGGTCTGATATCTGTGCCCGATGGATTATGTCTGACTTCCAAGAGTACCAGCACGACGCGTGAGGTGGTCCATGACCC